ATCTGAGACTATTATGGCGCATATACAAAATATACCTAATTTATAACCATAAAATAATTATAAAATGGCTGCCTACAGTTTATCGATCAATCAAATATGAGATAATGATATTTAAAACAGTTAGGATCAAAAGGTTTAGACCTGTTTACAAAGTTTACATATAAAAGAAGTGAAACAGATATGCTTGCTCTTTAAGTTGTAGTTCAACGTTATTGTCTTATCTTCGCTTCTTTTTTTTTTAATTTAATTTTTTTTTTTAAATTTGTGAAATAAACTGCTGAATACTTTTGGGTATTTAAAATAGAAAAATATTTTGTTGCGAAATTATATAAAATTTAAAAAATTAGGTAAAATTAATTTGAAATAAAAATTAAGCATATATATATTATATGTTTATAAAACTTGACCAAATTGAACCACACTAAACTGATCTACATTGAACACAATAACTCGTTTATTTTATAGATAATAAGGCATCGCTAATAACATGATATCTGATTATTTCTTAGATTACATACCACAAAAATTTAATTATTCGATAAATCTAATAATAAAGTAAAAGTATTAATTATATTTCAATTAATCTATCTATATTATAATTTTCCGGACGTCATGTCATCGCTACGTATTTGTTTATTTTTAATGTATTTATTTTTTATAAAAGCAAGACTCAAATAAAAAGCAACTATTATATCCAGGTAAATAATATTTATAATTTATAAAAAATTTTATTTATTAACTGTTTTTATAGGTGAAATATTTTGAGAAGAAAATCCAAGAACGCAAAACTCAAATAAAAAGCATTTATAATCATGGTAAATAATATTTTTAATTTATGATATCAAAAATTAAATATTATTCAATTATTAATTCAACCCATATTCCACTTGAGAAGAAAGGGTAAATAATGATTTTTTATGATCATATCTATTTTTAGAGACTATCATTTTTTTTATTATAAAAATGAGTTTTTACAAATCAACAATCACACCCTTATTTTCCAAAAAATGAGTTTTTACAAGGGCTAATATCAAAAAATAAATATCATTCAATTCTTAATTCAACTCATATTCAAGTAAATTAAATTATAAATGCTTATATATTTTTTTACGTTTATTTAAATTAAATTATAAAAGAAATTTAAAAATAAAATTGTACAATATTTAATCCGATAGATAGCGCTTATTGTTATTATTAATATTAAATTAGAAAAACGTCTAACTAAATATTTTATCCAGAAAAATAATTACGTAAGACTGAAGATTTTATTTCTAGATGACACAATTTTTTAAACTTCTGTTAACAAAATTTCAATGTTAGTATAATATTTTGTGGCTAAAATAGAGTTACACGTTTTTAAATATCAAATTTTTACGCCACACACTGTCATAATTTTTAAAGGGATCATGAATGACTATCCGGGTTCTTCACGGGATTTAAAGGGATCCCTTTAAAATTTCAATTTTTTAATGGGTAAAGAACTATACGGCATTATCACGTTTTAATCGTGATAAAGAGGAATCTTATTTTAAAAGCGTTCACGAGTTTCGTTGCGTTTTTTTAATTTGATTGTTATTCATTAATTTTCAATGTTGTTTTATTGGCCTTATAATATAAGATATATCTAATATAGGGTATCAATCGATAGCTAATCAAAAGATCTATTCAACTGCAGGTCAATTTCTCTACCATAATGGGCGGGTCTAGGTCTTGGGGGGGTCAGAAATATTTTTATCAACAAAAAATATCGATATGGGTTTCAAATAAAAGCTAATTTTAATATGGTTTGACTGAAAAACGCAAGGAAAAGCGTGGAAAAAAATAAGATTCCTCTTTATCACGATATAAACGAATACCGTATTATCATTCTTTAACTTAAAACCTTTATTTTTTAGTAATCCCTTTAAATCCCGTCAATATCTCGGATAGTCATGATCCCTATAAAAATTACGACATATATATTAATAATTGATTAAAAATTCACCAATTGCTCTGTATGGAACCAAAGTTTAAAACAAAAAAAATTTTTTAAAGATTTGTTTATAATAATTTTTGCCCAAATTTAGGTAAATTCGTGATTTCATCAAGAATATTATTATTATTATAATTAATGTTGTTAAACTGCTCGTTTTGAGCCGATTTTAAAAACGGCTAACTCTATATTTCTTCCAGAAAAATATTAAGCAATCCTCAAGTTTTTGCTCACAGAAGGAACAAAGGTCTAGGCATATATAATCGAAATCTCGAGGCTTAGGTAATATTTTTCTGGCTAAAATATTGAGTTAAAACCTTTGATTTTTTTTATTAGAAGATCATTTCAAACTTTGCTCATAATATTAAACGATTATTTTGGAATCTCTGAAGCAGTGGCGTAGCTAGGAATTTCCTTAGAGGGGGTCCATACATATATAAGACTGGGAAGCTTCGACCCCCAGACCCCCTTTAACGGGTCTTCGGCCCTTTTGCCCGGCCTTCGGCCGGGTTTATCTCAAAAATCATAACAATATCTTCGATATTATATAATAAATATAGTTAATGCATCAATAATATTTTATTATAATTTAGTAGATTATCTCAATGATTTTATAATAATACTATCCAGAATAATTTCAATAGTAATATATTATCCTTCCACGAACATCAAACATAGAAAAATATAAATATTCATTTGATATAAAGTAACTTGAGTCTTTTGAACGTATAATCTAAAAAAAATTTTGCTCTGGGAGGGGTCCAAACCCGAAAACCACCCCCGTAGCTGCGCCACTGCTCTGAAGTATAAGAAGTGACAATAATGAACTCAAAAAAAAGGGGTGTAAAAGAGAAATATTGAATGAGGGAGAGAACCATGAAGATTATTTTATTATAAGAAATTTACAAAATATATCCCTTTTTTTACGTTGTAAGCCTTTAGAATATAATAATATTTAAGAAAAGGACCAATTTGTGACAGGACTGGTAACCAGATGTCCCTCCTCCCGTGCCTGAGCTACTCGATGACTTATTTTAGCTGATTTATAAAAAAAAAATTCGCCCGTAGTTTGTTGCATATGTGCTTTTGATTATTCAAGTCAAAAATTATTTAAATGATTAAATCGTTTGAAACATAGAAAGACAGTAAGAAATTAAATTAATTTCCGAATTGGTGTTGAACTGATTGAAATTTGCAATAATGAAAATAAAATAGTATTTTTAAAAAGGGGGATTCATAGATAAAATAAAAATGATTGGCGCTGGCCTCTAAGAAGATGACACAGAGCTCTTTGTTTTTTTAAAAAAAATACACTCTTGAAATAAATGCTTTCAACTTGGTATCTATATTTATTTTTTAAATTTCCTTTCCTTTGATTAAAATTTGCGAATCGCAAAATTTTGTACAATAAAAATGACGAGTTCCATAAAATTTATAAAGTAACTGGATACTTTTGAAATATAACGATGACTCTTAACTTTAAAAAAAATGTGATAAGTACTTTATAACAACACTAATTTATTCTATAATAATTTCCTGTATCATAGTATAAAAAAAATAATGTTTTAAAAAGAGGTTTAACACGTAGAAAAAAAATATAATAAAGATTAATCAATTCGAAAAATGATTGGGTTAAGAGTATTCTTAGGTACTTACTATATTTTTAGCGGACCAAAAAATAGGCAAAACCAAGTTTTTAGCTGAAAACTAACACTTTGGACTGTTTTCTAGATAAGATAGCTCAATGAAAGAAACTAATATTTAATGTTAACGGATTTGGCAGACGCCTGAAGATTGAGCCGACATTTAGCCATTACCCAGGAAGTAATGGAATCAAAGCCAGGGAGAACTCCACCGAATATGTGAATGAAGATGATAATGGGTCTCAGAAATAGCAACGCCCAGGATCGCAAAAAAATGGAAGAAAGGGATCCGAGGGAAAACTGGTTTACCCGGATTAATCTGGAAAACTAAATTAAACGATAGAAAAAGAATTTTAAATACACATTCATCTAAGTTATTTCCATATACAATATCAGATTAACTAATAAAAAATAAAACATATTATAGATAGCATTCTAACTTATAAATGATTCATTAAGGTTTGCTAAATGTTCCTTATTTAATCGAATTTAAAAAAAGACTCGAATAAGATTTTAACCAAAATAATATTATGTAAACCTGGAGAGGTTTGGATCTACTATTTGCCAAATCTCCAGGCTTAGATAATATTATTTTAGCTATTTTAATCGGGCTGTTTACAAGAATCGATCCAAATCGGGCAACAACACTAGCTGGCATGATTAAATCAAAATCAGGATAGAATGATTTTCGTTTTTGCTCGTAATAATTAGTTAAAATATGTAAATATAATTTTGTATGTTGTGATGTGATGTGAATCCTTCATATTTTTTCCTTGGTATAATAAACCCATGTGGCAATCATTATTGTTAAAATTTTAATGAGATATGAAGAATTTATATAACTATTTCTGCCGTTTTATAGATATAAATTGTTTGAAAAAAAAATCTTCTTTTTTGAAGATTTATTGATCAAATTTTACCTAAAATGTTGATTACGATCAATTCAGATTCTAGTTTATTATAAAATATTGAAATAATCGAGCATTATTAACATTTAAATTTTAATATTGCTAATTTAACAATGGTTTATACAATAAATTCCATATGTAACTTTGCCCCATATTCTCCTTTAAGGGTAGAGTTTTAAAAATTATTACCTCATTAATAAAATATGATTTAAATATTAAAAAATCGTAATTTAATATTTTTAAAATAGATTTTAAAATTTTTATCAAAAAATCGTGATTTTTCACAACCCTAAATGATATTATACACAATAAAATAGGGAAATAATTGATTTATAGCCATGAATTTTCACTGTTCAAACCTTTCTCTTATTTATCTAATAAAAATTACTCGTAGGTGTAACTATAAATAATTACTTGATTTATTAACTAAAATATCTTTAAATATCATGTCTAAATAAATAATTGAATATCGTGTTATTTCGATTCATTTAATAATATTCATAGTAAAAAGGGAGCTATAAATGGATGTATCATAGCGTTTCTGTAATATTCTGTGAAAAACATTTCGGAATTATATTTATGTTAGAAGCCAAATCTGTATTACTGATGATGCTCGGCATAGATTTCAACGTTATATATATTTTTTGATTCGGAAAATGGGTATTGAAGGAAGGATTCAAATCCCCACCCAGGAGAATGATATTATTAGGGTGGGGTTGTTGAGGCGAATTTATAGTAAAATTGGTAGATGTTTGATTAGCGTTATTCGTAGTAAAGTTTGTGTTATTAACCACGTAAGAGCTAACGTTATCCGTGTAATTTTGATTAACACAGCTGTTGCTAACGTTGGTATTATTATTATTGATTTGTATGAGGTTAAAAAATCCTAGAGAATTTTTTATAGCTGCTTGTTGGTTGATACTTAGAACGTTGTTATTTAGATTGATATTCAGGTTAGTATTATTGTTACTGGGGTAACTCGTGTTAGGGCACGTTACTAATTTTGTCTTATTAGACAATTGATTCATTTGATGTGATTGGAGTATAGTGCTTTGCAAGCCGCCTCCCCTCATAGATGAGTTTCCAGATTTGGTGGCATTCACGATATTAGTTCCCTGAAGGTCTCCGATCGCTATCTTTGCCAATTCATCTTGGCTAAGGAAATTGATTGAGCCGGATTTAAAAGGGGCGTTTCTTTGATAAAGTGATGAGATAGAAGAAGGTAGAGAAGACAAGGGGTTACCATCTAGCTTATTTGCTTCTTCGCCAGGGTCTAAGGTGGTAAAATATTTTTGAGTATTTAATCCGCTGTCTAAGAGGGTAATTTCATCATTAGCCGATGGGAATGATGATTGAAGATAGTAAGGTGAAGGAATGTTTGACGGTAATCTAGCTTGAGATGATGGTCTGATATTATTATTAGGGTTTTGTTTAGCTCTGTTATTAACGTTATTGCGCCTTTTGGGGCCAATACCGGTGGTAATAGGATATGACAGAGGGTTCGAAGTAGGGTCGGATTGAAGTCTATTAAAGAGAGAAAGAGGAGTAGTTTTAGTGTGTTGGGATAAAAGCAGCGAGTTATCCAAGCTACCGAAATTACTTAGACTCTTTAGGTTACTATTCTCGTTGTTAGACGCGGAATCTTGCGGGGAGTGAGATACTATATTGTGACCTTGTTGGACAAATAAATAGTCGCGGGCCTTGTTTATGTTAGAAAAATTAATGTCGTTGGGAGTAATAGTATCGGTCGAGAAAGAATTTAAAGATGAGCAGGTATTATTATTATTATTGGATAAAATCTTGTATATGTATTTGTTTTCGGGGTAAGGAGCGTGATTATCTACTGTAGTCACTCCACAATCGACGGATGCACTTTGGTGGAGGTTAAATTTGTTGCCCTTTTGCTGAGCTGGGGGAATCATGGAGAGCTCGGATATGATACTTTTGTTCTTTTTAAATGAATTAATATTTAATAAATAATTTTACAAGATAAATTTTAGGTAACAAAATATATCCCAAACAAAGGTCTTAATAAAAGTGAGATAGAATTTCTCCGGAGTTAGGACATAGTCATTTAAGTGTGTTTAATTTTGCTAAATGCGGTTTAGTTTATTTCAAATTAAATTTGGCAAGAAACTTAAATATTTTTTTTTATAATTAGGCAGGGTTTAAAAATAGAATTTGTGGGGTTCTAATGCGCAGTATAAAAATATGCTAAACTCTAATTCAAATCATTTCCATCCTCTTTAATAAGTCGAGTTTATTGAAGCAAAAAAAACACAAATACTTGTATCTGTAGATGCTTTTTTTCCCTGTTGATTCTATCCATTTTAGCCTTGATCAAGGTCAGGGGATCTAAAGGTACATTGTAATTGATCCCATAGTTGTACAGAGTATGCATCCATAAATTATTACTACTATTAGCATTAGTAAACTGGAATCCATTTGCATCAGCCGATTTTGAACTTTCTACCTTATTTGGAAATAGTTGATGAGACGGAATTTTGTGCTTGAGAACGTTGTCAAATTTCTCGGTTATGTATCTTCGGTAGGAATTGTATTTATCCTGCGTGAAGGCCTTGTAAGTATTGATAGTATTACTCTCTTGCTAAAAGATAATAATAAAAATTTAAGGAAGATTAATTTCTTATTTGTATAAAATAAAATATTCCCTCGCAAAAATAATGAGATATCGAAATCGCAATATTTCTAATGTTTAATGTATAGGATAAGAAACGGAAAAATCAAAAATAAACTTTATTGGCATGATGTTGTTTGCTGACTTTTTGTCGCTTCACGCTTTGACTAAGTTGCGAACTTCCCGTAAAATCGCTCATATTACTATTACTGCCGCTGCTATTGCTCATTTGAAAACTTCTCTCTCTTACCAACACAACGTTTTCGTAATGGGTCCTGCACTCCTTGGCCGATTTGTAATTGCAAGAAACGGAATTCACGAATTCGGAGGAAAAATCCCAATTAGGGGAATGAGCTGGGGTCGATATGATTATGTTGAGACTAAAACCTTGCAGGTATTTTATACCCTTAAAAATGTGTCAGAGTAAAAAAATTGATGATATCGAAAAATAAACGGGTAAAAAAAAGAAGAAGAAAATATTACTATTGTTCAAAGAGGTTGTTTATTTTTTTGGTTAGGTTTAATCTATCTTTTGATGTAACTTTGTTAGCTATCAAAAAATAGGTTAGAGCTAACGGAAAAATAAAAAAAACTATGGATGTAGGACTAAATAATAAGTGTATGACAATGAATCTCACATTGATGAGGCTCCAAGATTCGTGGATCAACCAATTATTACTACTAGCAGAGCTATTAAAACTATTCGCGCTCGCGTTGCCACTGACCGGTGTAACCTGAGAATTAAGGGCAGAAGAAGAACCGGAAATGGTGTTGCTGGAATTAAAGGTTTCCCTTTCGACTTGATTATTGTGAAATTTAAGCGCATTTTTCGTCATCTTATTGTGGGAAGCGACGGGCGAAAAATAGGGGACGAGAGTTTGATAAGAAAACACATTGATTTTGGGGGAAGCTCCTAAAGAAGACGATTGATTACTGAGGTTGGCGGATAGCATAGAGATCGGCGTTAACGATGTATTCGAGATTAGCGGGCTATTGTTAGCCATCACGGCGGAGTAATTATTTCTGTTGTAATAATTATCGGCGTAAGCGTTATCGAGCTTGACAATTTGAAGCGATGGAAGGTTATCCAAATATTCCATTTCTTTTTCGCTATCGAAAAATAGGGAGCAAGGAGGGGAATCAAAATAATTCGAGTGAATCAGCAACGTGTCGTTGATTCGAGTTCGGTTTTCAATTTCGTCCTCCAAAAATGCGTCCAATATTTCTTTAAGTCGTAATCATTAATTCAAAATAAAAACTTGGTGGATAAAATGGAATGCTGCGAGAATAAATATTTCACTTTGCAAAAAAAAATGGGTTAGTGTACGATAGGCCTATTCAAAAAAGAATATTAGTCGAATCACAATTAATTCGTATTCAATTCTTTTAAAAGTGAATGCAAATAGTAAATTATTTGATACATATTCGATTGAGAATAGGGGTCCAGTGAGGTAAGCATGAAGTTGGTAGAACCCTTCAAAATAAAAAAAAATTATTTACGCAAAGTGGAGCGACATTAAGTTGTTCGAAACACTAAATGATTGAGATATGAAATCAAGATTTAGGCACAGGGATGTCATCCCGAGTTTATTTTTTAGCAAGTTTGTTCAACGCCGATTAGTAAAAAAAATGATATAGCTCGAACCGCGTTACCCTGTTTTCAAAGTTAGCGCGAATTCGCGACACAGTATTCAGAAATGAATGTAACCACGCCGCGAATTCGAGTTTAATGGCGAATGCAAGGTAACGTGTAATTAAAATTTTATCAAACGGTCCGTGAATCTTAAAGCAATTTGTAAGAAAATTGAAAACGGATAGCGGAAAGAACATAATTAATTAAAAGAGAATCGCGATATTCGAAGGCGGGGGGGTTTATACAAGATAGTTATACTGTCGATTAACGATAAATAACGCATCGCTTGAGCGATATCGAGCTTACTATATACGAAGAGTTACCTCAAAAGCTGGCGTTAAAATAGCAAAACAAGATCTAAGTGGTGCGATCAAAATGAAATTTTTTTTTTAAATTAAAAAAAAACCTAGGGGTGTTTTTAAATCGATATTGGCTTTGGCATTGAAATTGATTTTATCGGACATGATTAGATGACTTATTATTTGTTCCGCTGAAAATGTTTGTAGCGAATAAGTATCTTCGAACGAATCGTCTGCTTCTGTGGGGTACGTTTGAAAATCTTCGATACTGTTGATGGACGTAATTGATTTCTTTAATTATTGAAGTGAGTTTTTTTTTAAAAAAATATCACAATAATAAAGGATAATAGCATATTAATACAAACAGTATTTCATTAACCCCACTAAAATATTTTGTTTTATATTCTTATAGCTTAGGATAATATAATAAACCCGAGAATCATGATGTCCATTTTCATGTTCATTCATTTTAAGCTACATTACAAACGTGATTAGCAAATCAGGAAAAAATATTTTAAATCCACACGGAATGACGTATTATGTCTTTATAGCAATTAATAAACTGATTCAATAAAAAAAAGTAAAAAATACTACGTCTTTATATTCATTTGATTTATAAAGAAAATATCTGAATGTAAATGTAACTAAAGTGGCAGACTTTTAACAACACTTTTAAAAAGTATCGAAAGGAATACAGATACAAATTCTAAAAAAGGCTGTTGTGATTGTGAATATTTCAGGCGTGAATAAATATTTTGCATTGCTTGATTTTTTTAAGCCAACACGAGGGTATAGGTCGGCGAGTTAAGAAAAAAAAATTAGGCTCACTTCCAACCTTTAATTTTTATAATAAATTAATAATATACATTTTAGGGAGTAAAAGAACAAAGTAGGGTTAATAACCGAATCATCGAAATATATTTAAACATAGATATAATATAAACAATGTTATTATTTGATGGTAGGGGGGGGGGGGTTGTAAATTAAATTTTAAAATTAAATTTTGCCCAAAAAAAAAATAATTTTAAATTCATTAAACTTTTCTATTTTAAATTTATATCTTTTTTTTTAATATAAAATATACAAATATATATATTTTTTTGCAGCGACCCTGGGCCGGGTTCAATCAAAAAATTTAGGCCCATGAAGGTTTCTGATTTGAAATATATATAAAGTAAATATAGATAATTACAAAAAAACTCACTTTTAAATATTATTAAAATTAATTTTTTGTTATTAATTCAAAAAATTTTTTTTGATATGTCCACGTAAAAGAATTTCAAAAAATTTTTTAATTTTGAAAGCAGCTTAAAAAATAATAAAATGTTTTAAAAATTTTTAAGCATTTTTTGTAAATTTTTTTTCTTATTCAAGAAATCACTGAGGTGAAAAAAAAAATAATTTGAATAATTTTTGAATCCTAAACGAATCTGTTTTAGTCCGGTTAGATCAAACATCCATTTTAAAATTTCCACATCGGATCTCAACAAAATATCATTTTTTCCCAATGATATTCTAAATCCTCTTTTCTAGAGATAAAAAAAGAAAGAAAAAAGCAAACTTTCTCATTTTCCTCGAGCGTCTTATATAATTCATAATAGTTCGAAAGAAGGGGGGGGGGCATATTGTTTGTCTCTGGAAGTCAATTTACTTGTGATAAGTAAATAGGGTAAAAAAATTACCTTGCATGGCAAAATAATTAAATAAATAAATCTATCCTCTCTCTGGTTTTAAAAAATAAATGAATGAAGGGCAAAACCTAGCAGGCTAATAAGATTTGAAGATTTGTGATGAATCTCAGAAGAAGAAAAAAACTAAAAGGTAGTTCAAATCCTGGTCTGCTGAAACAAATTGAAATTTAACAGATGATCCTTAGGGCGAACTTGCCTGATCCTACTAAATGTAAAACGTGGATATGAGCTAGGGTTTGTAGCACCGCACCGTATAAATCTTGGCCCATTCTAGAAGAAAATAAGAAAATCGTCTTTGCATTTGAAAAAAACTATATAGTTGTTTTGGGCCTCCTGCGTCAGGGTGTTCCCGTTACACCTTTTAGTAATGCAATGTTGTTAAAACGGTTCGCTTTATCAAATTTTAAATTTAAAGATTTAGCCAAAAATAATATTAGGCAAGCCTTGAGATTTCGTTACTAGAAGATGTCCAAACCTTTCTGCCATCTAGGAGCAAAATCTCTTAGGTTTGCGTAATATTTTTTTTTGGATAAACTATTGGGTTAGCCATCTTTAAAACTTGAGCGACAGCGACACTACAATGGTATTTTCATATATCGGTATTGTGAATGCACCCTTCTCTGGCTTTATATATAATTTACTAACAAATATGGGGAGTATATGTATTAAATTTTTTTCCCCCTCTTTTTGCAAATCTTTATTTTCCACTAAAAAAAATTTTTTTTTTTAAATATTAAAACCATATTTGATATTTGCTAATTGAATTTTAAACGAAGTTCTTAGCTGTAATTTATTTTTCATTAATAATATTTAATTCCGAAATATTGTTAAAAAATAATTAAAAATATGATAGAGCCAATAATGTATTTGTATATATTTCCAGATTGCCGATCCATTGATCATGTGACTAATTGTCTTATTTATCATCAATGCCATTTTAATCGACGTGTAAACCACAAAATGGCTCTACAATTGACTACTCTGTAAGGACATAAATGCATTTTTCCAATCCAGCAGTATATACACATCATTGGATGGAGTGTAAATTATTTGAACTTTTCTGCTCTCCTTCCCTATCTGTTTTCAAAAATTTATAAATTCCTGGCTCTAATCAAGGATGTGAACCCTCCTTCTAAAAAACCAGGTTCAAGTTCGAAGACCAGAAAAATAATGACTTATTAAAATTTGTTAAAATAACAGAAACAAACATTTTTTTTTAAAAAATTTTATTTTATTTAGTATTGCCATAAAAATAATTTATCATCATAATTATAATATATTCGTGATTTCGTGCTTCTCTTTGTCTTACTATCAATTATAATAATCCACAAACAAGGTATAATAGATATTATTTATATATTATCATCATTTATCAAAAAAACTTATAAAATCTGCTTTGCTGGGTAAAATTTAAAAATTTTTACGAAAAAATGGTCGACTTTTAAACATAACAAAAATAATTCCATGAAAAAAATGATCAAAAAAAAAATTTTTTTTAAATTAATACTATTTTTGAATAAAAAAACAATTTTAAATAGGAAATCTTTTATCGTAAATTACATGTTTTTTATATTATATTATTTTTAACATATAATTTAAAATAAATAAATAAAATTAAAAATAAAAAAAACTTGGACCGAACCCTAAATTTTTAAAAAGGATTCGAGTTTGGGTTCAGCGAAATATCGAGGATCCGGGGTCAGGGTTTGGGATCGGGTTCCCATCCCTGGCTCTAATAGGCCCTTTAAAAAAGGAATAATTATTATTTCGGATATCGGTTAAAATTGAAGGTAACCGATACCGATCACCCCCCCCTCTATGAATCTCAGTATTTAAATAAACTTGGGTAAGTTTTTATCTCTAAATAAAGATGTTAGCATTCTTTTTTAGGTGACGATATTAATTATCCGGATTAAGGGCCGATATTTACCGTTTAAAACATTGGAAGATCTGATATATTTTTTGTTATTTTAAGATTTAGCGTCAAATATATTCCGTTATTTATGCGATTTAAATCATTTATTGAGCACGAGTTTTAAATTTTAAATATTTTAACCGAAAATGTATTCCAGCATATTTAGAATATCTACCTACCCATGCACATTTCAAGCAATTTTGCCCTTAATTTTAGGGTTATTTATAATTTGCGTAAACAAAATCTAAGGAAAAACTAATGAGAAATTTTATATTATAAGTTCAAAAGTTGACTGATAAACTTTTTCTAAGAATTGCTAAACATGTAGGAGATTTCCAGTAAAATCCGATTTTTAAATTTAAAATCATTTTTTTTTTAAATTTTACACAATTTCTTAATAATAAAAATGTAAAATAAAATGAACGAAAATTCAATTTATTTGTGACTTGTTAAATGTTTTATTTTAAAAAAAGTTGAATTTTCTTAAAAGAATGCTTAAATACAAGATTTTTGTTTTTGCAACAAGAAAAGGATTCAACCCTTCATAGCCAAGGGTAAAAAAAAATTTCTCAATATATCGTCGGTATAGAATTGGAGTGTTCCATTCGACATTTTCAAAATTTTTGAGTTGCAAGTGGTGGATTATAACTTATTTATTCCCAATATATATATATATATATATATAAATAAACTAGATTAAAAAATGTTAATTTTTTCCAAAATAGCTCTGTCAAAATTGATCAATAAGCTTTTCCTATATTTGATTTTAAACTTTAATGTTGATTTTCTCATTTTAAACATTTGCGAAAGTGGAGTACTCCAATTATAGGCTGACAACATATTAAATAAATTCTAATTTAGTGACTTTAACTGATATTTTAAGATTTTATTGTTAATTTAAAATTATAAAGAAAATTAATCATGTAGGAATTTTTATCTGATGTTCAAATGTATAATATAATTTTTAATTTAAAAAAAATGATGTATAAAAACGTGTTTATTTATGCTTAAAATATATGCTAAATCAGATTAAAAAAAGTTGCAAAAATGATTAGGTGGAGTGTGACTCCGAGCTTTGAAAACTCTGTACAAGTCATGAACCACTAAACAAGATCAAAATTATATAAATATGGTCATTCTTGATAATAATATTCATAAAAATGTTAAACATAAAATAATTTAAAATTTTGTCAGGTCCAAAATAAAATTTAAAGTTAAGGTCAGAATCTGACCAAGTATAGGAAAATCTCTATCCAACTAGGATTAGACTTTGACTGGTCTATGCAGGGCTCTAATATTTATGGAGGATTTTAAATGTTACCCTTAATTCTGGGTCATCTCTTGAAATTGTGAGCGGTAATTCATTTATAATTTCTGAGTATTTGTTAATTTCCTACAATATATAATTTATTATCTAAATTAACATTATTATAACAAACTTTGAGTTTCTTTGTGTCATTTAAGTATGTGTTGGCATAATGAATGCAATAATTATGAATAGGTTTTAACTAATAATCAAAAAAAGTTATGCTGATTAAAAAAAAATGTTGTTACCTTGACTGAATTAACATCTCCCATTTGTAACAACTAGAAAACTTTTTATGTATCATATTTCAAATTAATAATTTACCAATGATTTTATTTCCTTCCAAAAATTATTTATTATCATAGCAATGTTTTGACAGTGATAAAATGAATATTTGTTGCATGTGAATGATTGAAATAAGGAATATGATGGAAATAGTGAAATCAATTGCTTAGATATCTTATATATATATTAGTTATACACATAATTATTTAAATTTGTGTTTATAAATACTTTGTCTAATAGTAATTTTTTCCAAATCTTTTCTTGTTCAAAATCATGATGCATCCAACACATTTCTTTATTTAGAGAATTTTGGGTTGAGTGGTCAAAATGAATTTCTGCTATTTTGGGTAATAGAGAAGATGACCATAGTCCTTTTTGTTTCAATCTTAATACCCTTTCATTTAGATCTAATATCTTTTTTTTTTAATATTTAAAATTATTATATTATGGAAATTTATTAATTTAGAAAAAGTTTAGGTGGATTTACTTCTTCTTGATTTTGATGATTTGCAAAGGATTGGTTTTCTAAAGCATAAGAAAAATTTTCATTTTTTAAATCAAAATTATTTTTAATATTAAGAGGTTGTAGTTGATTATCTGTTTCATCCTGCCATTCAATTTTGCAAGATGTATTAAGAGACTAAAAATATAATTTATAAAAAATAGTAAAGATAGATAACCTGTGAATAAGATTCTTTGTCAAATTTGTTTTGTATAGTAGAAATTTTATGGGTAGAAATAATATCAAATTGTGTTTGTTTAAAAAAATTATCAGTATAATTTTGTAGATCACTTGGAAATTTCTTTTTCCAGCTAACATAATCCAAGATGTTATTATTATTTTCAAGGTAATAATGCTCAGATAAATATTCAATTAATGTTGCTTGTGATAAATGGAAGGATACACCTTTCTTTTCTAATAAAGTTTTTCTTAAACTAATATTCATCCTCGCTTCAATATAAATTTATGAATGTATGCTAACAAAATAATTTTCATTTTTAAATATAATGATGCTACCTAATAACATAGCCCTAATATAGAGTCAGTAAAAAAAATTGCTGGATAAATAATGCCTTTTGATATATCAATTTCATCTGGGTAAAGTAAATAGTGAAGCAACGAACAGGTAGAATTTATCTTTTATCGTATTATAACAATTAAGCAATAATTTCCAACTATTAAAAATAAAAAACTATATATCTTTATAATAATAAAATTTCTATATATATCTTGGAAAATAAAAGTAATAGCTTTTCACAAAAAATAATAATTTATCAAATAAATTGAAATAATTTAATACTAAAAATGATAATTTAATATATTCAAAATAATATTTTTGAAACTCTAATTTTATGGATTAAATTTGAATAAAGAAATTTAGTATTAAGTTTTTTGGCATTGCAAATAGCTTTACAAAAATATAATATAAAAAATAATTAATATTTTAATATTATGCTACGTTTTAGAAGAATAAATTGGAATAAAAAGGTATCGTAGGATTATCTAACATATACTAATTATATTTCCATTGATTTCCTTTAATATGAACTATCCTATATTTTGATGGAAAATTTTTTTACGGAAATATCATTAATTTTCTCCAATAAAATTATCCAAGTGTATTCAAACCTGCGACCTTAAGATCTGAAGGCAAACGTCTTTATCAGAACCAATTCTAGCTATTTAATAAATCACTATATGAAAAAATTAATAATTATCATGCGCTATCATTAAACTGATCATTAATACATCTTGATTAAAACATATTCATGTCGTAATCGATGAGAGAATAAAATGGTAATTTTTTAAGTTTGTTCATTGTTTGACATATTGGTGAAAATATAATTGGAGTTAATTTAAAGAAATAATTTAACTCTGAAATAAATTATGTTTCCCGCAGTGATTCTTCAACAATATCCGATTAAACTATATTATAAAAAAGGGGAATTTATTAATTATATTATATATAAAGGAGCTAATTATAATAATAATCCTTCAGATTTGTTTTTTAAACAATCCTCAAAATGTTCATTTTGCAAAGTTTGAAATATTCAAAGATTTTTTTTCTACCTTACATTTAGAGCAAATATTTGTAGATCATAATATTGAAAATCTTTTCATAATCAAAGATTTACTTATATACGATTTGGAATTGAGGTAAACTTATTCAAGAAGCTTAGGAAGGAAGGAAGGAAGGAAGGAAGGAAGGAAGGAAGGAAGGAAGGAAGGAAGGAAGGAAGGAAGGAAGGAAGGAAGGAAGGAAGGAAGGAAGGAAGGAAGGAAGGAAGGAAGGAAGGAAGGAAGGAAGGAAGGAAGGAAGGAAGGAAGGAAGGAAGGAAGGAAGGAAGGAAGGAAGGAAGGAAGGAAGGAAGGAAGGAAGGAAGGAAGGAAGGAAGGAAGGAAAGAAGGAAGGAAGGAAAGAAGGAAGGAAAGAAGGAAGGAAAGAAGGAAGGAAAGAAGGAAGGAAGGAATAAAGAAAGAAAGAAAAATTTAATTTTAAAAAATATGCGTATATTTTTTTTATAAATATTCATATAGAACTACAAGATATGTATTAAAATAATAGAGTGCATTAAATATAATATGAGATATTAAAAGTAAAAATGTTTATATGAAAACTGTGAGTGATAAAAAAAAATTGTATTTATTTATATATTTTGGCATTCTTCTAAAATTGAATTGACTACTCTTTTAATATTGTTGACCGCCGCCTTTTTTTAGTTCATTTCCTTGTGACCAGAACTAATGATTTTAATTTAAAATCCATATTAATAATATGCCCTATAATGGTTAAAAAACTTTGTTTTTACAATCATACATCCACAAATCGGTGGTTATGAACAATTAATTATTACTGTTGCTTTATATATTAATTTCATTTGGAGCCGTATTATTCATTAAAGCTTTTCTCCTCATGAGTAAATTTTTTATTTTCCATAATTACACTAAAATTTATTAACTCTCGGCTTTCACTTTCTGTTGCATTTAGTGGTAGAAAATATATCGAGATTAGGCAACATTTTTGTAAGACTGCTTTGATTTGTCTGACAATTGTTTCTTATTATATTATATAATGTCTGATTAGAATAATTTTTTATATTTTTAAGACACATTTATGCTTTAATAAACGGCTAGTTCAGTTACATTTATGAGATAGTATTTTGACAATTTAACCATTTTAAGAAAGTTTTGTAGGTATCCTGAATAGTATTGTTAAAAATTTAGCCCAAATTTTGCTATTCCAATTTTCTGACGCTTTAAATTTCATATGAAGCTTTCTTATTCCTTATTTTGTCTCCGAATTCCCAATTTTTTCATTGTTATTCAATTTATAATTTGATGAGGGAATATAACGTTGTTTATAAAATGAAGATTTTTAATTTTAAAAATTTATCCTTTTTCTAGAAGAATTAAATTAAATTAGAAAATATATATTATAATTTAAATATAAAATATAATATTTATATTCATATTCATAAAGAACAATTTTAAAAATTAAAATTTCTGTGATATACGGAAAATTTATGTTCGTGCCCAATCAGAATTACCCCTGGTAATAATTTTGGAGAAGCCTGTCACGCCCAGTCACGCCTAGTAATTTAAAATTTATTCACATTTATGCCGTGACTCACCATGATTCATAGTATCACACCTAATTACACTGCCCTTATCCATCTCTAATAAAAATGTCATGTATTGAATAATGTTTACCTGGCAACCCTTGTCCCTGCAATCGAATCAATGAAACATAATTTTTAAAAAGTCAATTTTTAGCCTAATAAAATTTTTAAAAGCTGTATCTCTATCCAAGTCAACATTAATTATCCGAATGCGACTTTTCTTATGAGATAATTGCAGTATGCACAAATATCACATAGGAAAGATAATATTGATATATTAAAAATATTTTCTATATTTGAAAATAAAATTCGAAAACTTTCCCTATGATCTCTCGCTATTGATATGTCGTTATGGATTAGATTCTCTATTTTATACCCTCATTCTAAATTTAAATTGATCAATTTTTTTTAAACCCAATTATGGAACAAAAATATAAATAAAGAAGGAATATAATACTTGTCAAATAATGGGTAACACTGTTTGCACCGAAGTGCTCATAATTAACGGCAGGTTATAATTTACAAAGCAAGGATTGAAATTTTTAGATTAAAAAACCCCGATTTACAATTGGAGTTCACTAGATATTAGAGTTGAGTAAAAATTTACTATGATTCTTCCAATTTAATGAAAGGTTTAATGGAATTTCAAGTCATTAATTCTTATATTCTAAAAACAGCGTATATAGAATAACAACCAATACTCAATCATCAAGATTTTTATGTCTGTTTTTTAGATTTAGTATATAAATAAAAAAAAAATAGACAAAAGTTTATGGCAAAATCTACATGTGCTGGAATGCATTTCCGGTCAAGGAATACATATCCGGTCAAATCAGATTTTTCAAATTTAAAAAGCTTACATATATATATATCTTAAAAAACCACCATACAATTATTATTTATTTTATTGTATGGGAGGATTAAAATACCCAAGGTTGCGTTTAATATTTATTCAGGCCCATCTAGCTTATGAAATTGTTATTGCCTTGTTAGAAGAATGTGTTTTTGGTCTAACAAAAATAGTAATTTAATGTGTAGATTATAAAATGAATATTGTCAAGCTTATAATAAATAAAATGTTATCTAAGTTTCAATTACTAAGATGTTCAACTGTTTGCAACACTTTTTACTATTCGCATTAAAAAGACTCTATCACTGGATTTTGTTATATTTTAGGAATAAAGTTTTATATTTAAAATAATCTTTAAGTACCAGAAAATCACCCACTTTAAAACAAATTATTGTAAAGTTTTGAGCGTCAAAATTTGTATCCTTATTCATATCGTTCCATGCGATTTTTGTAAAAAAAATATAATATTATATACTTGGATTTTTTTTCCTTAGATTTTCTGTTTAAGATCAGGTGAAAACTTTAAACTTTATCTACTAATCACTCAAATCTTTTTTTAAAAATATCCTGACATTTGCTACCAAGTCTAATCAAGTTTGAGATAAGGGATAGTAGGTATAATATCATTATCAATAATATTATTAAATATATATTTTTTATGAAAATGTATCAATATATGACACAGATACAACATTCAACATCTAATGTACTAGATCTTTTACAACTTTGATAAAAATAAGTTACATGTAGATTGGATTAATATTGTAAATACAATATTATAAAGAGGTATAATCTCTTATATAATTTTATAGCATATCCAATTTTTCTTTACCTTTAGGAAATCTTATAAATCAGGCCTGATTTATATAAATAATTTTCAGAGCCACTTAAACAGAAAGTGAAGATTTATGTAAGTATTTTTTAGAGAATTTTAATAAATGAATATCTTAATACTCATAATTTTTTTAATATTTTTTATTCAAGCTATTTTTCCTAAGAATATTAGACGAGGTCAGCGCGGGCCGGAACAGCCAGTTGGAAATTATTGAAAATTTTTTTTTAAACCCAGCTCGTAATAATTTTTTTTATAAGAGGTAAAGGTTATAAATTGGCCTAATTCATAGCTTTAAAAAAAATTTGACCACGCCTATAAAATTATTTTTCACAAGTTGTCCAATCCGCCCCAAAAACATTTAGCTCCTTTGCACCGGTCGGGTAAAAATGTCAGAAGTCCCGGGATTAGCCCATAACCCCGCCCGGTTTGTTTATCAGTCTAAAATGGTATAATCTAATTTTTCAAATATTTACAATGATTTAGAAATACAGCCCAAATTCTTTTTTAAAATAAGGAATTATAAACATCCTGGCAGGCGGACTGGGTCAAAAAAAACAAGTTTAAAAATAAATGCCGAGGGCTTTAAAATTTGACATCCTACAGGTAGTTAAACGGCTGGCCTTGGCATTAAGAATTTTGCC